TTGGGATTCTCTGCCATCAAACATATCCCCAGTTTTATTTATTTATTTATTTCTATTTAGGATTATAAGTATGTGCCACCATACATACTTTTGCCCTTTCTTTTTTTTTTTCAGTTTAATCTATTGATTTATTTTGGTGGGTCAAACATAATTCATTCACATGCTTCTGTCTCTGCCTAGATTTTAATGCAGGTGTTACAATTTAGTGAAATCATTCTTCAGTCTTACAATGATGGTTGACAGTTTGGTAGAACAAAGTCATATTATGATTACATTTCTTCTGCTTTCTCAGAATTGTTTAGGTTTTTTTTTTTTGTTTGTTTGTTTTGGTGTAGGGTCTCACTATGCAGCTGGGGCTCGCAGTGATCCTCCTGCTTTCTGCCTCCCTAGTGCTGGGATTACATGGTGTGTCACCATGCCTGGACTTCAGAATTGTTAATTACTTTACTCTTTTGTGTTTGTCCTCCCTCCCTCCCTCTTTTCCCCCTTTCTTGCTTCCTCCCTCCCTTTCTTTTTCTTTTTGATAGGGAGTATTGAGGCTCTAATGCAGAGGATCATACCAGGCCAGTGCTTTACCTCTAAACTGCATCACCAACCCTGTGTACCTTTTCTTACGTTTTTTTAAAATGGCAGAATTCCCCAACAGTTCTGTGCTACATCTCTCTTTTGTTCAACTATTGAAATTAAACTATTGATTTCTTTTTTCTGAAGCCTTCTGTCCAATCTCTCTGTTCTTTGTTTTTAATCTGCCTGGTTGTACTCCTTGTCTACCCTGGGATTGATTGCCTTCCTAGGATTTCTCCAAATTGCTCTCTTACATTGGAAATCCTGGATTTCTTGGATCTTAATCTTTTGCTGAAACAAAGTAGCTTCCTGTACATGAGGATAGTGATCATACATATACATGATTAATGACAAAATGTGATTGGTAAGTTTTCTATATCTGTATAATCTTACCTGGATGTGAGGTTCTATTTTGAAGCTCATTTTTTTTTTGCTTTTTTGAGGTAAACCTCACTTGGTAGTCAGGCTGGCCTTGCACTCAATATGTAGCCCAGGGTGGCCTCAACTGCAAGTCTGTCTCCCTCAGCCTCTCTCCAGTGTTGGGATTGCAGGTGTGCTACCATACGCAGCTCTCATATGTTATTTATTTTGTACAGGGTCTCACTATGCGGCTTGGACTCGTAGCGATCCTCCTGTTTTCAGCCTCCCAAGCACTGGAATTGCAGCCGTGCACTTCAAGACTCTTGCTACCATTTTTTACATTATCTCTGTAACTCTGCTATATCTCTATCAGCTTGGATTTGACTGCGTGAGAATTTTAATCCTGGTTGGATGAAATGTCATGATTTTTTTTTTTTTTTTTTTTTTTTTCCAGAACCGGGGATTGAACTCAGGTCCTTGCGCTTGCCAGGCAAGCACTTATTCCATTGAGCCATCTCCCCAGCCCCTGTCATGATTGTTTTTTGAGTTTTCTTCCCTCAACACTTTTCTGGGGATTGAACCTAAAGCCCCATGCAGGCTAAATCACCCACTCTAGCACTGAACTACATCCACAGCTCTTTTTATTTATTTTATTTTATTTTTCTTTTTGTGGTACCGGGGATTGAACTCAGGACTTATTCTACTGAGCTATCTCCCTGGGCCCCCTTTTTAAATTTTTGGGAAAGAATTTTGCTAAGTTGCCCTCACTGGTCTTAAACTTGTGATCTTCCTGCTTCTGCCTCTGGAGCAGCTGGGAATGTAGGTGTTTGCTGTGGCACTGGCTTCAGTCCCCTTTAAGTTAGTCCCTGACTTACGAATAAGCATCTTTCTCAGATATTTTTCATAAGACACATGTATTTGTCTCACAGAGTGATCCTACACACCTTACATCTTTGACATAAATTCAGTGTAAAGCATTAAAGAGCCCTACAAAGATACTGTAAATTATTTTTAACAGTTACTTTTTTTTTCAGAACCAGGGATTGAACTCAGGCCCTTGAACTTGCCAGGCAAGTGCTTATTGTACTGAGCTATCTCCCTGGCCCCTAACAGGTTTTTTTTGGTCTTTTTGAGACGAGGTCTCAGTATGCTTAAGATCATGCCTTGAGCGCATGCTAGGTGTATAGGCCTGTGCCACCATGCCCAGCGACTTTATTATTATTATTATTTTTTGGTGGAGCTGGGGATTGAACTCAGGCCCTTACGCTTGCTAGGGAAGCGCTTATTCTACTGAGCCATCTCCCCGGCCCCAACCGTTAACTTTAAGTGGTGGTCCAGTACAATAACTGGCATATAGTATAAGAACAAGTAGCATCTATAGTCTTTTTGCCTCCATCCAATCTCAGTTATTTTCATGTTTGTTTCTACAGTTACTGCTTTATGCTTCCTAGCCACTCTGCTGTACATCACCACAGTTTTTCCTTTTCCTTCCTTCCTAGGCTCTGATTAAGCATTTTACTAGTGTACATTATCACATGTACAGTAAGCATACTGCAGCACAACTGTAGTACTCTGTGGCAGATGTGACTACAATTTGTTTATGTCTATAGATGTTAGTAATGCAAGATCTGTTTGTATCAGTGAAAGTTTACAACTTGAGTGTTTCTAAGTTGGGAACTTACTGGATTTGTAATTTGAAATCTCTGGACTGACCTAGGTTCTGTTTCTTTGCTGTTTTCCATTTGTTAGTATTATTGGTCTGATTCTTGGAGTTTGTCCTCAACTTTATCCTCCACATTTGTAATTTCTAATTTGTAGCATTATGATTTAAACTTTTCTTTTTTCTTTTCTGTATTTAGGACAGGTTCTATAGAGTCTCACTAGGTAGATCGGACATAAGTGATCCTCCTGTTTTCAGCCTCCCAAACGCTGGGATTACAGGCACGTACCACCACGCTCAGTCTCAGTCTCAATTACTGTCTGAGCACACCCCGGGGCTGGGGCTGGCATGGCTTGATAGTGATTGAACCTGGCCTCTGCACTCTGCCTAAGAAGGTGCTTTAGTTCACTCACTGACCTATCTGACTGGCCTTACTTTGTCTTCTTGAGACAGCGTTTAACTATACAGTTCAGGCTGGCCTTAAGCTCACTTTATAGCATAGACTGATCTCAAACTCGAAGTGATCCTTCTGCCTCTGCCTCCCAGAGTGCTGGGATTACAGGCATGTGCTACCATACCTGGCCTTTTTTTATTTTTTATTTTATTTTTTATGTTTTTAAGCTGTTTTTGTTTCTTTGCTGGCCTTGAACACACAGCAGTCTTCTTGCCTCAGCCTCTTGCATGCTGGAATTACAGCTATGTGCCACATGCCTGGCTGCTTTGTAAGATGTCTTTGGCTTCTGGATTTTCTTTCATTTAGTTCAAACTTTAAAATAGGTTTTCATGCTCACTTCGGTAGCGCATATACTGAAAATTGGAGCGAAAACAGGTTTTCATTTTTATTAGTACTTTTTTTGAGGGACAAGGACTTGTTTTGTAGTTCAGGCTGTCTTTGAACTTATTATATATATAGCCCAGGCTGACCTCAAACTCAGGGCAGTCATCCTGCCTCAGCTTCCCAAGTTCTGGGATTACCAGTGTGTATTGCTTTGCCCTGTTTGTAACTACACGTTTATGATACATAATCATATTCATCTTGGAGAGTTGGTACATGTACGTGACACACTTTGAGCTGGGCGTGCTTGTGCGTGCCTTTAATCCCAGCACTTAAGAAGCTGAGGGCAAGAAGGTTGCTGCCAATTCTAGGCCAACCTGGGCCACATAGATCAGTAGCAGCCTGAATTACATAGGAAGAGACTATTTCAGCACCCCCAAAGCCCTAGAATATCCACAACACATCTGAATTCAGCTGTTTCCTATATACACTTCAGTTTTCCTCCCTTGTTACCTAGTCTGCCTCATGTAGATCTTGTGTCCATCACGTTTCTTCATACCCCTTGTTCTGTTCACTTCATACTTTAACATCTAAAGCCGTGAACTGTGAGGTTCACATTATTTCATAAAGTGATCAAACATGATTTTTTAAAATTTAGTCTTACCCTGGTGCTGGGGAGAATGAAAACAGGAGGATCAGTACAAGTCCAAGCTGCATACTGAGACCCTGTACCAAATAATACATAAATATTAAAAATAAAAACTTTATTCTTAAGCTCCATTCTCTACCATACTTTTTACTGTGGCCTAGATATAGTTCACTTTGTAGGATCAATTAATTAATTAATTTATTTATTTTTGGTACCAGGGATCAAACTCAGGACCTTGCCTTTGCCAGGCAAATACTTATTCAACTGAGCTATCTCCCCGGCCCCTGGATCAATTAGTTTAATTTCTTCTCCTCCGTATGTGTCTCTGTAGACTTTTTAATTTAATTTAATTTCAGTTTAATTTTATTTTATGTACTTAGTACAGGGTCTACAGGGTTTCAGTACAGAGAATGAACTTGTAATGATCCTCCTGTTTTCAGCCTCCCAAGCACTGGAATTGCAGCCGTGCACCACTACACCCAATCTCAGTTTCAGTGTGCCCTGGGGGCACGGCCAGCATGATCGGAATCAACCCTTGACCTTTGCCTGCTTAAGCAGGTGCTTTAGTCCACTAAGCTATCTGGTTGGGTCTCTGTGTGTTTTACTTTTCTAAATGAGTTAACATCCGTCTGCATTTTGTTGCTGTTTTCTTGTTCATTTGACCTTAGTGGATTCTTTTACATTATTATCATTTGATTGGTTTCTCTGAAGGGAGATGTCAAAAATGTATATGCTTAGCTTAAAATTTCTTGTAATAAATGTGGGAGTTGAGATAATTTTAAGAAACTTAGTTGCTTGAATGTTGTTACTCTTCTAAGTTCTCTTCCCCTAAGGATTGTGCTCTTGTTTTTTTTTTTTTTTTCTGGAGCGGAGGATTGAACTCAGGCCCTTGTGCTCTCCAGGCAAGCACTTATTCCACTGAGCTATCTCCCCAGCCCAAGATTTTGCTCTTACTTGAAGCAAAATTACATTGTTATTTTTTTCTTTTTAAGAAATGCGGTTTGGTTTTGAGTTGGAAGAGAGTACAAGGTGCTTCTGGGAAACTTCAAGGTAAGATCTTTTCCTTATTTAGATCACTTTTACCTGTTGTAAGTCAGTATTTTATATTTTACTTTTATTATCCTTTTCTTAGAATGAGGTTAAAAAGGCAATTAAGAAGCTGTTGGCTGAGATTTCTGGTCCATAGTTGGCAACATAGACTAGGAAGGAGTTAGAAGAGAAAATCTTTATAAGAGTTCGGCAGTTGGGGCCGGGAAGATGGCTCAGTAGAATAAACACTTGCCTGGCAAGCGCAAGGGTCTGATTTCAATCCCCGGTTCCACCAAAAAAAAAAAAAAATAAATAAATAAATAAATAAATTTGGTCTGTTTGTTACTGTTTGTTATCTTTTTGTTTGGAAGCAGTACTGTATAATGAAGATGAAACAATTAGGGCTAAGGATGTAGCTCAGTGTTAGGGTTAAAGTTTAGCATGTGCACTGTCCTGGAGTCAATATCTAGTACCACCACTACCAAAACAGTTGGAATAATTAAAATTTAGGCAAAAATGAGGGGGGAAAATTGATTAGGTGGCCTTTATTCTTAAAACTTTTTTGTACTTAACTGGCAGAAACAACTGTTGGAAAAAATAGTATTATAATACCTTAAGAGAAGCCAGGTGTGGTGGTACCTACCTAAAATCCCCACCATTCAAGAGGCTGGAGTAGGATTGCCTAAAGTTCAAGGCAGCCTGGAATATCTAATGAGATCTTGTCTCAACAAAAACCAAAGAATGAGGCTGTGGAGATAGCTCTGTGGTGTAAGCACCTGCCTGTCAAGTGCAAGGACCCAAGTTTGATCCCCAGTGTTGCATGCCATGCTAGCCCTTGAGCGTCAGGTGTGCTGTACTGGCCACTGAAACCAGGGTGGTGGCAAACGTTTATAATCCCAGTGCTGGAGAGGCTGAGACAGGATGATCACTATGAATCTGAACTGTATAGTGAGATGTGGTTTCGCATAATAATAAAATCCAAAGGAAAAAGTCAACCCCCCAAAACAAAACAATGCCCCCCAAAAAAAGAAACAGGAAAAAATATCTAGAAGGAATTAATTATAGTAAGTATCAAGTCACTTTGCAAATGCTCACTTGTCTCAAAAATAGGAGTCAGGGGACAGATGATACTGGAAATAATGGAACCAAGATTCTCCTAATTGGTAGGTGAGAGCTCTAATATCGAGCCATCCTTGGTTCTTTTTCCTTTTTGTGATAGGATTTGCCAAATTGCTTAGGGTGGTGCATCTGGAACGTGCATCCTTGTGTCTCAGCCTCCTGAGTAGCTGGGTTTACAGGTTTACAGCATTGTTTAGTAGCTTCAGATGTTAATTTTTAAAATGTTACTTATTTCAGGATCTTTGTACATTGCAATTGTCAGTTGGTTTTAAGAGTCTGTTGGTATTTTGTTATCTTACTTACCTTAGTTCCATTGCACTTTATATTTATTTATTTTTTTATTGTGGTACAAGGTACTGATCTCAGGACCTTGTGCTTGCCAGGCAGTTGCTTATTCTACTGAGCTATCTCCCCAGCCCGTATTTTTGTTTTTTAGTATAGGGTCTACAGAGTCTCACTATGTAGATTGAACTTGTAGTGATTCGCCTGGGTTCAGCCTCCCAAGTACTGGGATTACAGGCGTGCACCACCAAGCCGTCTCAATTGCCATCTCAGCGTTCCCTGGGTGGGGGGCCAGCATGGCATGCCAGGGATCCCAGGCAGTGTCTGCCTAAGCAGGCACTTTAATACCCTAAGCTATTTGGCCGGCCCCATTGCAGTTTTATTTTTTAAAACAGCATAGTTGTCATTAATCCAGTAGTATTTAAGTGTGGTGTTTTGCCTTTTCCAGTAGTATAATTTTCTGTGAAGCTGTCCTTTGTATTATCTCAAAACTGTTTAGTATTGTATCCAGAGACTTGTTTAGATTCAAATTTTTATGTTATTTCTTTAATACCTATTTTGTAAAAATACTGTAAAGGCAGAATTTTTCCCAGAAGGGGCACATGTCAGGCTGTCTTTTTTTTTTTTTTTTTAAGTACTTGAAGCTTTTGATTGGCAATTCCTTAGTTCATTTCTTAGTTGTAGAATATAATATTCTGTGTTGAACAGTTCTGTCCCTGTTTCATCGAAGACCTTTTTATTTATCAGTAGAGTACTTCTACAAGAAGAAACTTTCCCTGCTGTCTACAATTTAACTATTTTGTAACTGATACAGGAAAGATAGGATAAATGGCTGTATTTCTGGGGGAAATGGTCTGGTGTTGCCTGCATTTTTTTTTTTTTTTAAACCATTGACCAATGTTTTGTTTTGCTTTTTCCAATATTTTTTTTTTTAAAAATTATTTATTTACTTATTTTTTGTATTTACTACAGGGTCTCAGTACACAGATCAGACTTGTAGATCCTCCTGTTTTCAGCCTCCCATGCACTGGGATTACAGTCATGCACCACCATGCCCAGTCTCAGTTGCCGTCTCATTGCGCCCCAGGGGCTAGGGCTGGCATCAGCAAGGTCCCTGCACCTGCCTAAGCAGGCGCTTTAATCCACTGAGTGATCTGGCCCCCCCTTCCAATCATTTTATGGTGGAACCAGGGATTGAACTCAGGCTCTTGCACTTGCCAGGGAAGCGCTTATTCCACTAAGCCATCTCCCCGGCTCCAATCATTTTAAATTCAGAATTGAATAGTCTATAGTCTTATATTTAGTATGGATTCACAATAGCTCTCATCACTTTAAAGCTCAGGTTGATTTAGGTTGTCTCTGCAAGGTAGTGATTTTGATACAATCCTCACTGCTTTTTATTATGTGCTATGATAAGGTGGTTTCAAGATCATTAATGGTTTATTTTTGCTTCTGTCTAGGAATGAGCGATTGCATTTCTTTTAGGAGCCCTGGTTTCTTACAGTGGGAAATTATTTCCTTAATCACAATCTGAGTACTAGGTGTACTCATCGTGATTGCTTTAGTCTTTGGTATTTAGGCTTACTAATAATGCACACTAAGTTGAGAACTGAAAGATACTTAATCTTTCCTGTCATATCTTTTTTCATACTGTTTTTTCATCTTACATAATTGCATTGATACTTACTAATTATTTGCATTTGTTAATAGCTTTTGGATTCTGTGAGTATAAGGAGCCTGAATCTACCCTCCGTGCACTCAGATTATTACATGACCTTCAGATTGGAGAGAAGAAACTACTTGTGAAAGTTGATGCCAAAACAAAGGCACAACTAGATGAATGGAAAGCAAAAAAGAAAGCTTCTAATGGGGTATATTTTCTTGTCCGTTTGTTCTGTTTCACTGTAAATACTTTCCACTCTAAGTGAATCTAATACGAAGATTGACAAGATCGCCATCACCATAAGATGTGCTGTGGCTTAAATGTAGGATGGTATTTTAGATTATAGTTATTTTAAGTCTTTGTCTGTGTACGATGTGTGGATGACTATTGGTTGTTTGTTTGAGGTTGGGATGAAGGTGGTAAGGGTGGCTGGACAAGGTTAACTTGCCAGAGAAAAACTGGTACAGACTGTTCCAAACAGGTAATTCACTAAGACATCCTACATCCTTTTTTTTTTTTTTTCAAAGTTTTATTGACAAACAGATAGCAATGAGACAGTTTCAAATCATATCGGAAGGACAGTTTCAACAAATAATACACTGCATATATTCTTCTTAGTGGTTAATTGCTGTACAAGATGAGGAATTGTGATCCCATTTACAAACACCATTAGAACAAATCATTCTATTCATTAAGAGAATGCAACTATATATCTATCCCAACCTCTTTGAATACACAGATACAAAATGGACATTCATCGGTATACCCCATTTTTTCTAAGTTCCGTTATTGAATATTATAGGTGTGTAAACTCAGCAAAATATTCTAAAAGAGTCCAGTAGCCCATAATAGCATTGGGTCTTATATTTAACTGGCAATGTCAGAAATTATTGACCTGAGTCCCCCACAGCTCAACCCAACAGCATGGCTTTATTTCTTATATTTCGACTTCATACTTTTCTACTGGATGGTTAAGATTTTTTTTTTTTTTTAATGTATTTAGGACAGGATTTATAAGTTCTCACTACATAGATCGGACTCGTACTGAGAAAATAAACATTGGTTGTTATATTGTATATTGTTATCTTCAAAATAGTTGTTCAGATTACCATATTATTCAAGCTGTTTTAATTGAAGATAAGATAAAGGAAACTTTTTCTTTGTATTTTGGGGAAAGGTCTACAGGGTGTTCAGGGTCTCACTACTAGATCGGACTCATAGTGATTCTCCTGTTTACAGCCTCCCATGAGCTGGGATTACAGGCGCCCACCACCACACCCAGTCTCAATCACCATCTTGGTGGAACTGGGGCCAGCTTGGCAGTCCCTAGGATGGAACCCCTGGCCCTGAGCCTGCTTGCAGACCGCTTTAATCTGCTGAGCTATTTGGCTGGCCCAAGGAAATTTTTGTATGTTATGTTATTGCCAAAACAAAATACAATTTAAATGAGTACACAGTGCCTCACTTTCCTAGTTTCTCTGAGGTACTTTAAGCTGAACAGATCCCCAAATTTATTTGTTGTCTCCTCTCCAAGAAAAACAAACCAAAATAGTCTTTTTAAAAAAATGTATTTGATATAGGGGTCTTGCTACACAGCTCCGACTCATAGTGAACCTCCTGTTCTCAGCCTCCCAGTGCTGGAATTACAGGCCTGTGCCATCGTAACCCAACTCGGTCACTGGCTTAGTGAGGCTGGGGCTGGGTCCCAGGCCAGGGCTAGGGCTATGACTAGTGCCAGCACAGCACAGCACAGCATAGCATGTGGTGTTGGGGATTGAACCCTGGTCCCTGTGCTTGTCTAAGCAGTCACTTAGTCCGCTGAGCTATGTCACTGGCTCCAAAATAGCTTTTTAAACTCATGAAGCTTTCACTGTTTTTCAAATAGACATAGCTTCTTGTCCTCTCCTTCATACCCACATTGTGTGTTCATTCTTTGTAAAAAAAATCTCAATATAATTATAGTATAAAAAGTAATGCCCATTCTTATCACAACAAATAACCACTGTTGAAATTTTTTTTTTTTTTTTTGCGGAATCCGAGATTGAACTCAGGCCCTTGCACTTGCCAGGCAAGCACTTATTCTGCTGAGCTATCGCTCCGGTCCCCCACTGTTGAAATTTTGACTGCATGTTTTTTGAGACATGGCTTGTTGCTTCCTCCTCCCTTCATCTAGCACCCCCTATATGTATCTCCCACACAGATTTCCTTTTTTTAATTTTTATTTTTTTGCAGTACCAGGGATTGAACTCAGGACCATGTGCTTGCCAGGCAGGTGCTTATTCTACTGAGCTGTTTCCCCAGACCCATTCATTTATGTTTTGCCTAAGTCTCAGATCCTTGTTGCAATCCAGTTTCCCTGTTGAAATTCTGCCTATTCTAATTATAATTAATATGTCCCATTTTATATAGCTTTTATCTACCATACTTTTAGACAATGAGATTTTTTTTTTCCCTTGTAAAGCAGATTTTTGTGATGTTAGTCTGCTTCGTAGTATATATTGTTTGTATCTGTTAGAGCCACCTGTACCAGGGCTCATTCCCACCTCTACCTTTTTCATCTTATTTCAGATAGAAAGGGTAGAGAGTTGGTAATATCTTACCTATAGTCAAAATGGGATGAACATTTATAATGTTGTGGTTACCTTGCTTCTTACTTGTACAGTCTTTACCTATCTTTGTATAAAATATAGTAATAACAGTTTCTCTGGATTATACAGTTGAATTTTAGATCATCAGTGTTGCCTTTCATATTACTGATATCTTAAAACAGTTGCAATAACAATGTTCAAATTTTCCTTGTCCTAATAACTGAATTTGAATTTTAAAAGAAAGCATATGAAATACCAGCTATTTAGGAGACTGAGGTTGGGGGATATGTAGTTTGAGCACAGCCTCAGAAACAGAGACACCCTCTGTCCTCAGAAGAAAACAAGCATGGATTCAGTCTGAGTCTTCTTGTCTTAATTCCGTAGAACTCACTGTCATTGCATTTACCATGGTAAATAGCTTTAATTTTTAGTATTTGTTAATGGTATACTTTAAACTCTGAAAATGAAATAAATTGGTTTATTATATATTTTTATTTCAATCAGATGTTATTGGTACATTTTAGATTACATTTATCATGGAGAATTTGTTTCCCTACACAATAATAACCCCCCCCCCCCTTTCTCTTCCATCCCTCAATCCCTCTTATCCTCCCTACTTTTTTTTATTTTTATTTTTAATTTATTTATTTATTTTTAATTTTTTTGGCAGAACGGGGGATTGAACTCAGGTTCTTGCGCTTGCCAGAGAAGTGCTTATTCTGTTGAGCCATCTCCCTGCCCCCTTATCCTCCCTACTTACAAAAGCTTTGTTTCCCTTCTGTCTCTGCCTCTGCCTCTGCCTCTTTGTGTGTCTGTCTGTCTCTCATTTTTTTCCCTCTTTGGTCTTTCAGACAGGGTCATGACATGCAGTTAAGGCTGGCCTTGAGCTCACTTTGTAGCCTGGGCTGGTCTCGAGCTTGCGACAATCTTCCTTCCTTGGCCTCCTGAGTGCTGGGATTACGTATGTGTGCTATTGTGCCAGTTTATCTTTTTTAAATTTTTTTTTATTTTTTATGAGCAGAATATATTTATTGAGAGAAAGAAAGCTCCTGTCCTGAGAGAGGGACAGGAGGTGGGGCCCGAGCAGGTAGTTTCCTCCCCCATCTTTTTTTTTTTTTTAAAAAAAACACCTTTTCCTCCTCCCCTCCCTTCTCTAGTTTCCTTCCCCATTTATTATATATTTACTTAAACAGAAAGTGAACTATGATGTGTGGCTGTTTATAATCACCATTACCCAGAATAACACTGCATATGTTTGTATCTTTTTTCAGGGATGGAATTGAAGTGTCTTTGTTTATTTTTGTGGTACCAGGGTTTGAACTTGAGACTTTCCACTTGCTAGGCAGGTACTTACGCTGTTGGGCTATATCCCGGTTCTAAAGTTTCTTTAATAAAAATAAAACATAGAACAATTATTTTAGATAAAATAGAAGGTCTAGAGTTTAGACAGAAGGTCTAGAGTTTAGTTCATTATGTAGCCTAGGCTGGTGTCAAATTCACAGTGATCCTTCTGCCTCAGCCTTCTGAGTGCTAGGATTACAAGCATGTCCCACCATGCCTGTCATAAATGAAATCTAAACGTTTATTTTACTTTTTTGGCTATGTGCATACCTCTAGATGTATTTGGCATAGTGCCCAGGGTTATTTAATGTCACAGGCCAATGATTTTTTTTCCTAGAATGTCAAAATGATACAAGTTAAAAAACATTGAGTAATTCTGTGTATTCTATTTTCACATAACCTGAGTAAATGTAGTTATATAATGGTGTAGTAGACTGCATATTTGCCATCATTTTTCAAGTTAAAATGTGTGATTAGGTGCTTATTCCTTATTGTTGATTATTTGGAGAAATTTAGAAAGTAGTAACTAAGGTTGATGTTGAGATGATGAGACAGGGGCTGGGGAAATAGCTTAGTGGAATAAGTGCTTCCCTGGCAAGCACAAGGGCCTGAGTTCAATCCTCGGTTCCACAAAAAAAAAAAAGATGATACATCAAGAATTGTGTGCTGTTTTGTTCAGCCATTTTTTTTCTGGCTCGGGCAGAAGAGGAAATACAGTTATGTAATTGTTATTAAAAGAAGAACATGTGTTTGTCCGGAACAAGCGTGGGTTTTTTTTTGTTTGTTTTTCTTTTCTTTTTTGATCCATTATTTTCAGGAAGACTTACACACTTCTGGAATGCGCCTTGTCAGATAACTTGATGGAAAATTATTTTGATTTGTTGTTGAAACTTTTTCCCCTTCCTATTTCTGAATGGTCTTCAGTAAAAATACTTCATTGAGGTACCTATGCTGATCTGTTTGGTCCATGTTGTATTGTGTTTTTGCTATCCAGCAGTATATGGGTAAATAAATCTGCTTCATTATTAAGTGATGTTTGTTAAACACATATTTAAGAATGAACTTTGACACATACAGATATTTGAAGTACACAATACTCTTCTGAAAGAAAACAACCAAGTGGTTTTCTCTGTAGTAGGAGACATGTTCCAGAGAATATTTGACATGTTTGTCTAGAAATTAGTCTAGTCAACATTTTCTCAGAAGAACTCTGCTTATGCTTAGGTTTCCAAAGTGGGTGGGGGGGAGTGCTTTTGGTTTGTAGAAGTCAAAGCCTGAGTGTGTAAGACCTCATTAGCTACTTCACAGCTAGTAGAGTACCTTTAGTACTGAGGCTTTGATTCCTCTGAGGGGAACCAAATCAGGGGCCACATAACCATTCCAGGTGAACAGTTGATTTGTATAAATCTTATGTGACTGAGCTGACATCTTTTGGTCCCCAATAGTACTCATTATGCTTTATGGTTGCTGAAATGGAAGAAGAAACAAGGAATTGAGAAGTTTTACAATAAGGTAGCAGCATTATATAAGATAGTAATTCTTTTTCTCCAAGAGGTAAAAAGTTAAGACTTTGTCTTTTAAATAATAATGATCATTATTAATATATTCGGTACAGGCTGTCACTATGCAGCTCAGACTCATAGTGGTCCTCTTGTTTTTAGCTTCCCCAACGCTGGGATTACAGGCATGAACCCTGCGCATGTCTAAGCAGGCACTTGGTCTGCGGAGCTTTCTTAACAGCCCTGTTGCTTAAATTATTATCTGTAGAATATAACAAATACTTGTGAGAAACATGACATGTATTGTGTGTTGTATTTTTTTTATTTTTAATTGTTTTTGGTACTGGGTATCAAGCTCAGAACTTTGTGCTTGCTAGACAGGCACTTGAGCCACTGAGCTAGATTCCTGGCCTATGTGTCTTTTTAATGTTACATGAACAAGTCATGGGGAAGAAGAATTCTGCAATATTTTCAGTTGTTATTATAGTTGGTATACTTTCTTTTCTTTTTCTCTTTTTCTTTTTTTTTTTTTTTTTTTTTTTTTTTTTTTTTTGGTATACTTTCTCTAAGTGGTAATCCCTGTATTATAAAAGTTTTAGAAGCAGAATGATGAAAAGTCGACATTTCAGCTCTTAACCCCAGTGGAATACTTGTATTTTGGTGTATATTGCTATCTGGTATTCTTCTTGCTTTTGTTATTTTATGTGGTATCTGTGAATTAAACTGGCTGTTCAGTAGGACTAGAGAGATGCTTTTGTGAAAACACATTTTTATTCATTCTTATTTTAGAAGGACTTTAATTTTCTTGTTTGATTTTTTTGTTTTCCTCTTTAATTTAAGAATGCCAGGCCTGAAACTGTCACTAATGATGATGAAGAAGCTTTAGATGAAGAGACAAAAAGAAGAGATCAGATGATTAAAGGGGCCATTGAAGTTTTAATACGAGAATACTCAAGTGAGCTAAATGCCCCCTCACAGGAGTCTGACTCTCATCCCAGGAAGAAGAAAAAGGAAAAGAAGGAGGACGTATGTGTTCTGACATCACACAGTCATATCTCCAGTTATTTTTATGATAATACACTTGTACCTTGATTTTGCATTTTAACTCATAAGGGAAGAGCAATGACTAGGGCTTGGGCAGTACCTGAATGTGAAAGAAATGGTTGCTTCTCTTCCACTTATTTCTTTTGAATATACTAAAATGAATTATGGAAAGTATTCTTCTAAAATATTATAAAATGTTTATTGGTAAACATCTCAGTGTCTTTCAGCATCTTCATAGGCTATCGTCAGTTTTCTTTGAGCCTAAATGTATTTTTAACCTTGCTTGTTCATGTGTTTTATGGAAGCCTTTCGTGGTCATACTCTTATCACAGTGTAATTGGTAGGGTCAGTCAGTTGTAGAGTAAGTCAGCTGAGCGCTGTATAACTTGTTCTTTCCCCATTAATGGAAAAGAAAAATAGCTAGACATTTGTTTGTATCAGTTGAAAGGAGGAAATTTTAAAAACATCCTGTTCTTTGGCAGGGCTTACAGGCAAATTCTGTTGCAGTCTTTATTCTGTCTTAGATTAAAGAGAAAGCCTTGCTGCAGTGAGATCTTTCTTGTTCCATTGTCTGGGAGTATTGGAGGGAGAACCAGGGGTGGGTTATAAGAGGACTTTTAAAGAGAATAAAATAGCTTTAAATGGCAAGTAGTTTGCACTCAAGAAACTATTACAAGTATTATGATATTTGCAGTAAAAATTAAAGAGCGTTGAAGTACAGAGTAGCGTGAGCTCTGTTTTTTAAAAATCTTGCTGGATTTTCCCGCAGATTTTCCGCAGATTTCCAGTTGCCCCACTGATCCCTTATCCGCTCATCGCTAAGGTTCGTTTAAACGTAAGCTTTGACATTATCTTTTTTATTACTAAACTGCCATAATTGTGATTTTTTTTTTTTTTTTTTTTTTTTTTTTTTGCCCTGGGAACTGAACTTGGCAGCTTGTGCTTGCCAGGCAGGCTCTGTGCCGCTGAGCTATTTCCCCAGCTGCAATTGTGATTTTTTTATAGTCTTGATTTTTCATGTTTTAACTTCAGGATGTTACATTTGCTACTGTAGATTTTTTCTTTAATCATACATTTGTAAGACTTGCACAAAATATTTTACTACTTTCTATATTGATATATGTAGATTCATCTTTATTCATTACCTCATGTTTCCTTGGCTTTTAGGAGGATATAAATGCTATAGAAAAGGAAGAGGACAAAAGAGACCTGATATCTCGAGAGATCAGCAAATTCAGAGACACGCACAAGGTAGTATTCTTGTTTTTCACTTGATACCAATCTAGACTTTTTACAGAATCCAGAGCAAACAGACAAGAAAATCAACCTTACATTAGAATATAATTTTAAGTGCTTTTTGTAGGCTTAATTGATACTTAGGTAAAAACAAAAAATTAGTACCATATTAAAGTGGTCCTTGACATACTGCACTTAGTTTTTTCAGTTACTAACTACTCTGCAGTCATCTCACTTTAATATGAATAAAATTAATTTTTTAGTGTTCAACATAAAAATCAAGGTCAGATTTAAAACAGATGCAAGGGGGCAGCAGGATAACATACATACAGTGCAGTCTACTTTTGGGGACAGTTATTTAACTTAATCTTAGGGAAAACTTTTCTTTGGAGCTGAAATTAAAATTTAAGATTTATATTTGTATAGATTTAAGTTGAGTGGGGGAGATTTTTAAAAAGTAGGTCAGTGGTTACCAGACTTACCAAATTTTAGATGCATGGAAGAACTGTAAATTCCCATAAAGCTAATCTATTCATTGACCCCCACCATTATGATAGAGATCATATGGTGACTAATGCAAGATGAAACTGTCAGCTTGGAAAGTAACAAGGAGTAGGATGTAAGTATGAGCTTCTGTTTTTTATTATATTTATGGATGCCCCCTCAGAAAAATATGCAAAGGGGTAACTGGCTTGGAAATGGGTATTGTTGTTTAGTAAATCCCACTCACGAGTTTTGCCTATTTAAAGCTTCTCTCAATGACAGTGCATCTGTGAATGTTGCTGGTGTTGAAGGTGTTGCTTATGGATGGTGAAATGTAAACACTGCATGAAACGTATTTTGATTTAGAGGTAATAAGATGTTGCTGCTTCTTAGTCATAGGCTGAGAGATCTTAATTCAGTGAAGTGTTAAGTGGTAGTCAGTCTTATTTTTTTCCCATTGGTTTTAAAACTCAAGTTCATAATGCCAAAGAATCAGTGGTGCTGCACACTTGTGGCTTTAATACACAGTGCTTTGTGAGGAATTAGGCATGTCTAAAAGCACAAATGTAATTCTCCCCAAATTTTGAGTGTGAAAATGGTGTTCTGTGGAAATTCAGAGTGGAGAAATATTCTCATTTAGGTTCAGTACTCAAATTTAGGGCTGAGTAAGCTTAAAAATGGTATATAGTTGTGTGTGTGGTTTACGGTCTTTTTGCTTCATCTGTTAAACCTTGTAATTTTATTTGTCATTTATGAAGAAACCATGTGGTAAAAAAATTCAAAAGACACTTTCTTCAGATTTTAAGAATCTCTCACACTATCAGTGGCTTAGTAGTATTTCATTGGGGGAATGTTTTGAATTTCCAAAATGTGTTTTAAATGTAAGAAACTAAAACAACAACAGAAAGTTCTCAATGGGTGGTGTGGGTAGGGGTGGAGGATATTTGAAACTTCAGTAACAAGAATTGAGCTCAGTGAACCTTTGCATGTTTTGGTATGAGTTTATTAAATAACCACAGACTGTCAGGGTATCAGCGTGGCAGGGGGCGTCCATTTACAGCACGGATGAGTCTGAAGAGAGAATAAGGTAAGATTTATGATTTTTTTATCTGTCCTTTCCTCTTCATTACTCTTACATTTTATACACACCTCATTTCTTCTTTTTCCAGTCTTTTAAAATGTGCCATATGTATGCTGTGTGTCTATCTCTGTCTCTCTCTCTCTACCTTTGTACACTCATTGATAGTATATATTTATAAATTCAGAAAAATGTTCAATATAGACTAGATTCACTCACTTTATTTAGAACCACTTTTGAAATGAATTCTGAAACATTTACTTTATGTAACAATAAGTAGTACAGTGAATAAGCTTAAGAGTAAAAAATTGAGGAATTTTACAAAATTAATATTGGGAACAACTAAAATTATCTGTAAGTATTATCTCAGAAATATATTTCTTTATGTGTATGACATTGAGGTAAGTTTTATGTAATTTAGCCTCATTTATAGGACAGATTTTTATCTTCCATTAGAACTGTTTCAGAAATGAGATTTTTACCCTTTTTGTAGCTTTTAGTTTCTGTCTATTCTACCATTTCTTTTCTCTTTATAATTTCAATATATTCGGTATTGGCATGGCCTGCATTCTACTTTAGGATTTAGACTGGCACTGCAGCTGAATATATTGATGTCTCATGCACTAGCTTTCGTTTCATAATTCTATATCAGTTCTTTGATCCATGAACAAGGGAAAAAGAGTACCTAACAGGTAAGACTGTTTTTTAAAGTTGTTTTAAATGCTTTACATTACTGAGAAAAGAAAAATGAACCTTTTATTATTGGAGTTTAAATTTCCTTTCAGCAAAACTAAATATGGAACCCAAGGGGTAACTGTGTTTTGTTTTTGTTTTATGTGTTTGGCAATTTTTTCCCCTTCTGAGTTTGCATAGAAACATTGTGGTACACTGGTAATCTTGTAGGGTACAAACTTGGTTTGACTTTGTTATTTGGTTATTTGTGAACCATGTACTTGCTCTTCCTCCCAGAAACATAGCTTATAGGCAAGGTTAATCCAGTGTTGGCGATCCATGTCCTAGCACAGCATCTGTAAGTTAATACACAATCATTCCTTCCAAGGATGGATTTATCATTGTAAATATATATTTTTATTGTCTTGCAGACATAATGGGCATTACTATGTCATTTTAAAATATTTTATGTGAAAATAATTGAATTATGTACATTTTGCTTGAAATGAAAAATTTCCAAAGCTTTTGTATTTGGTGGGCTGTCCATCTTGTGGTGGGAATAAATATTTTTGTAGATTAAAAAGACAGAACTTGTATCTTTTGAGGGGTGGGTGTACCAGAGTGCCGAAGATCAGTTGCATTACAATAATGTGTCTCCCCCACCTCCCCCTTAAAGCTCTCAACATCTGACTTATAATGGGAAGTCTGGGGTCTTAGTGAAGTAATTGTATTTCTAGAAATTATTTTGAACTTCCACATTCCTCATTGCCATTTAAATTATTATGTAGTCATTACGTGACCAGCCACACTTGACACATTTGTTCAGCACCCAAGATTGGAGATTCCTGGTCTATGTGGAATATAAGGTTTTGGACAAAAATCTAGTCTTATAATTACTCAAGTTGAATTTTTCAAGTCAAACCACAAGTATTATTAAAATACTAGTGGTTCAGTGTTTTGGTTTTCAATATTGGACATTGCGTCGAGAAGCAGCTGAAACCTGGAGCTACAGAATTAACTCTAAAAGTACTTTTATTGGTTTCTAGAAACTGGAAGAAGAGAAAGGCAAAAAGGAAAAAGAAAGACAGGAAATTGAGAAAGAACGGAGAGAAAGAAAGAGGGAGCGTGAAAGGGAACGAGAAAGGCGAGAACGGGAACGAGAAAGGGAAAGAGAACGTGAACGAGAAAAGGAGAAGGAACGGGAGCGGGAACGAGAACGGGATAGGGACCGTGACCGAACAAAGGAGAGAGATCGGGACCGAGATCGAGAGAGAGATCGGGACCGGGATCGAGAACGGAGTTCAGATCGAAATAAGGATCGGAGTCGATCAAGGTAATGCTTCATAGAGTTTACTGTTTCTGAAAGAACCAGCAGGGTTACCTTCTCTGGAACTGTCTGCATCAATCTGATGAGAGACTCTCCTGAACTATGTTACTGAATCTGGCTTTTTAACATACATGCATCACAATGGTAAAAGTAGCAACTTGCAAACATCTGTCTACTACTCAAGTGATCTGGGAAGACAAAATTCTCTGTTACATCCTTAGGATAGTGAGTAGTTTTTCTATTTATTCTTTCATTGAGGTGCTGTATGTTGAGCCATCAGCTGTAGCACCATTCCTTTTGGCCCCTGGAGTGGGTGTGGGAGTGTGTGGCCCACTACTGCTTACATTCCTAGCTCCTGATAATTTCACCTTTGGAGGGCTTTGTTTCATTTCCATTTTTAGGTTTTTGGTAATTAGAAGTCATCTGAAGAGTCTTCTCACTCCTAAGAGTTAGAGCAAGATTGAACCAAGGAAAGGTAAACAGAAGAGAGTGAAAAGCTTGTCTTTTCAAACCATTTTTCAAGTCTACATGACTTCCTTCAGTTTTCTGCTTGTTTATAGCAGGAGTCTGATCTTGATCACTAAACCATACTATTCAAACTGGAAGTGCAATGCTGTCTCAGTTATTCCTCTGTTGGTTCCTTCCCTGTAGCTGTTACTGAGAATTTGACTTGTATGAGGTCAAGAACTCTTACTTTTGTGACAGGTGTCCATCAGCTTTATTAGATCACTGACATACTATGTTTTGTATTTTTATTGTTGTGAATTAAATAGTTGATAACTTGATTGTTTTTTGTTTTTTTTTTTGCGGAACTGGGGATTGAACTCAGGTCCTTGTGCTTGCCAGTGAAGCGCTTATTCCACTGAGCCATCTCCCCAGCCCCATAGTTGATAACTTGAAATGATGATACATATACTTCTATGATTTATACATGCCATGCAGTATGGTAGAATTCTTTATTCCACATTGGCCATGGCTTTATTACTTGGTCATTAGAAGTACATTATCATTTAACAAGTTCATTAGTCCTTTGTATTTTTCTTAGGAATCAACCTTTTTTCACCATTAAACAATTAACTAATATTTTAATATGTGATGGGTCATTATTAACTTCTCAGTCTTTTATGTAACTTTGCATTCAGGTTTTTGTAGGTTTTTGGTTGTTTTTTTCTTGTGTGCCAGTAAGTACTAATGTACTTTAGATTGCAGTTTGGGGTTGGAAATGTCTTAAAATAATGTTTTATTACTACATGTTTGTGCAACATAATGATTACTTCATTGTGGGGAATTAGTACATATACATGACCCACTTTTATTCTTTTTACTTAGCCTTTCCTCCCTCTTTTCTCCTACTCTCTTACCTCTTTTCCTCTCTTTGCTTCCCTCTTGCCCTTCCTATTGTCCTACTGTAGTATCCCCTTGGTCCCCACCTTGTGTTTTTAGTTCCCCTTCCCATTGGAATTATAGTCTTTTATCTTTCTTTGTTTTATTCTTTTTGGTGCAGGGAATTGAACTCATGACTTTGTGCTTGCCAGGCAAGCACACTGCTGCTGGTCTATATCCTCATTGGTTACTTTGTAACCCAGGCTGGCCTTTAATTTGCAGCAGTCCTCCTGTCTCAACCTCCAGTGCCAGAACTAGAATGCGACCACACCTGGCTTATCTTTCTTTATGTGCTTATGGGCTGAGGATGTACCCAGGGCCTGCCAGTGTTGATTTGCCCAACACTGGACTATGAAGGTGGACTTTTGGGCCTTGGTCTGTGTTGTTCTGATGGGCAGAGTTTACAGTTCTGCAGAAATCAAATGCTAAATTTTGGCTTACAAGTTTCTCTTTCATAGTGCATTTTTTTTTCTGTTGGTTGTTAAAGGAGAACAAAGTGACAAAGTTTGTAAAAAATCTTTTATTTATGTAGAGAAAAAAGCAGAGACCGTGAAAGAGAACGGGAGCGAGAAAGAGAGAGAGAACGAGAAAGGGAACGTGAGAGAGAACGTGAACGGGAGAGAGAGCGCGAGAGGGAACGGGAGCGGGAAAGAGAGAAAGACAAGAAACAAGATCGAGAGGAGGATGAGGAAGATGCATATGAACGAAGAAAACTGGAACGAAAACTCCGGGAGAAAGAAGCTGCTTACCAGGAGGTAAGTTGAGATACTGACTCAAAATCATTTCTGCAAATTTAATACTATTTTTAATTTGGTATAGCTTTTTTGTCTTTTGTTGTTAAAACTTTATATAATTAGTAAGTCAGTCAAAGTTGTAGAACTTCAAAAGTTTAAAATTTTCTTTTTTAGAGACTTAAAAATTGGGAAATCAGAGAACGAAAAAAAACTCGGGAATATGAGAAAGAGGCTGAAAGAGAAGAAGAAAGAAGAAGAGAAATGGTAAGATTCTGGGTTAACAAGGATTCTTTTTTCCAGGAAAATCAGATTTTACTGTTAACTAGAAGGAAGTAACTAAAACTGAAGTTGGCATTTACAGATAATTGTCTCAAGCAACCTTCAGACAATTTCAGTATACACATCTATTTCTCAAATATTTGCTGCTCATAAAATTATATTTCCATACTGTCAAAGTAAATCTATACTGAAATGATAGATAAACTTATTAGAACATGCTTTGATTAAGAACTTGGCAAAATTGTTGAATTGGTGCAGTGCATTTGAATGAAGCAAATGATATAAGTTTTTATAAATTAAAGGTATTGTTTCTGTGTATAACATTTACAAATCAGTTTTTCCTTATATTACGTATTATTTTTTAACTGCATGGTAATCATAAAATGAATTTTCCTTTTATATTTACAGTGTTGATAAGCTATAACAGTGAAGCAGTTGGCATTGTTATTAAGTAAACTTAAAAAATATTATTTATCATAGTATTTGCTTCAGTAGTATGTTGCATCTGTTCTGTCTTTGCCAGAATATGAAATTTTCTTAATCTCCAGTTTGGAGATTATTCATCCAAAAACTTCACTGAAGTTAGGAATCTTCTTCAAATAGCTTTTGAACATGAGACATAGAATTTTTGTAAGTAACCAAAAGGGTGCATGCAGCAATTAGATAGATATTACGGGTTTCCCAGATACTAGATCCTTCAATGTCATAGCTTTATTTAGAATCTAGTTTAAAAAAATTATGTTGAAAGTGAGATTATACATCTCATTTTACAATTTATTGTTCATTCTTAGAAAGTAGGAAGAAGACAGTATAGTAAGAGAAGAAGAAACTCCATCAACAATAATTTAGAATAAACTTTTGAAAAATTCTATCACTTCCTAGGAAATCCTTTTGTTTTGGTCTTTGAACTTCAAAATACCAACCAGTTACTGGTTCAAGTTAAATCCTTCAACTACATGAGGTTAAAGTGAAAGTCCCCCTGTCTGCTTAATTGTAACTGACTGTGGCAGTCATTCCTGTGATTCTAGCACTCTGGGAGTCTAGGCAGGAGAATTAATAAGTTTGAACCCTGCCTGGGGAATTTAGTCACGTAGCAAGACTCTGTCTCACAATAAAAATAAAAAGGCTCAGGTTGTAGCTCAGTGCAAAGAGTTACTTGGTTCAATCCCAAGTACCACCTTCAGAGGGGAAAAAAGACTAGCAAAGTGTATAGTTTTGTATCTTATGGTCTTTTCCTGTATGTCCATATGTAAGAAATTGAAAAAATATATAAAACTGTTGACAATAGACAGACTGCTTCTGTCAGTTTGATAGTTATCACGTCTCAGCCTTTTGCTTACATATTGGGCATACAGGAATAACTAATCTTGATTTTATAAGAAGCAATATCAGATTAGGGATTTATTATAATAGGGTGTTGTATATGTGTGTGTTTCACATGGTTAAAGATACATTCAAAATAATTTGGAAATATAGGAAGAAAATGCTAACGTTGCCTGTGTGGAGGTGCTGTTCATGGATTGAGGGTTAGATTGGGGAAGTGTTTAAAGAGACATACATTTGAATTAGGTGAAGTATATTAAAAGCTTACTAAAAGTTAGGATTTATGTTTTGTGTCTCGGTATGATAGCTGTCAATGTAGTGGTTATATATAACAGTCATAGGTAAAATATATAGTTAGGTATATCTTGTACTTGAAATTCTGAAAATAAGAGATGTTTGCAGTTTAAAGTTGTAGGTAGGGGTTATGGGTGGGAATAATTTACAGAATTAAGTTGGGTATGTATTGCCTTTGAAGTGATGCATTAAAATGATACAATTTTTATTTTTGTACAAAATTAAAAACTGCTGCATCTTCCATCTACAAAATGAAATTTAAAATATTTTTGTCAAGTTAAATGTAATAAGATAATTGGTTTCCTTATATGTTCTGGTTTTGATGGAGAATTATTACTATACTTTGAAGATTATCTTTGGAAAATATATTTATTGTACCATAATGTAGATGTTTGTAGTTTTTATTCACAGACCTAAAATCTCAAATCTGACTTATTTTATAGGTGAAAGATAAAAAGATGTCTAATACAAATTATATTAACACATGAAATATATGAAAACTAGTTTTAAGTGGATATGAAAACTAGTTTTAAGTGGTTTGAATAAGAAACAGTCTTTTCTGGTCATTACGATTATTTAAATAACTTATGCTAATTTTCTGCACATTGTCCATTTCTTCAAAGGCTAAAGAGGCTAAGCGACTAAAAGAATTCTTAGAAGATTATGATGATGATAGAGATGATCCCAAATACTACAGGTAAAAAGCTTTGCTCTATGAACTCATCTTTTCAGTTTTTTATTAGATGTACTTTCCATGTTTGCCTGAGTACAGAGTTAAGCAGAGTAAGAGTAGGAATGCTCGTTGTAAATCATCTTTTCAGTTAATAGTGTTGTTTTTGCAGTGTGTGTGAGGGTAGGGGTTTTGTTGGATAAGAATTAACAATATTGTGTATTTAGAAGGTTGCAGGTGGGATCCATGATAGCAGTATACCAAAAAATCCTATTTTCTTCCTTCATATATTTTAAGTAGTCCAGTTTATGATTTTTTTTCTTTGTACTGAGGATTGAACTTGGCACCTTACGCTTGCCAGGCAGGCACTTATGCCACTGAGCTATCTCTGTAGACCAGGTCCACTTTCTATTATAACTAGTTTTTGTAACTACTTGGGGTCATGTAGAAATTTTTGTCTTAATTTTTTTTAAAGATCTTTTATTTATTTGGTTTTGTGGGCTTTTTTGGCGGAACTGGGGATTGAACTCGGGTCCTTGCACTTGTCAGGTAAATGCTTATTCTACTGAGCCATCTCCCTGTTCCCCGAAATTTTTGTCTTAAAAGAGTTCTAGAATAGTAAACCAGTTGGGCTAACCAGTTGGACTTGGTGATGTTGCACTCTTGGAATCCCAGCATGTGGAAGGCCCCAGTAGGAGGATCATCACACATTCAGGATAGAGCTACACTGTGAGTTTAAGGCCAGCCTGAGCTCTATCCAATGAGACCCTGTTTCAAAAAAAAGGAAAAAAAGAATAGCAATCCCCCCCTTACCCTGCCATCTTCATATTAATACTTTAGTGTGAAGTGAGAGTTGTAGCGTGTGTTTCTCTTTTCTGTTCAAGCATTTTTTTTTTTTTTTTAATTTTATTTATTTATTTGTGTGTGTATGGCCAGCTCAGCCCACCAGGGGGCAGGGCTGGCTGGCATGTGGTGCTGGGGGATTGAACCGCGGTTAAGTAGGTGCTTTAGACCACTGAGCCATCTCACCAGCCCTGTTCAAGCATTTAGAAATTCCCATTTATGGGCTAGGGAGATAGCTTGGTGGTTTAGACACCTGCCTGGCAAGTTCAATCCCTGGTATCACATGCTGGTCCTGGAACCCTGGGTGTGCCGTGCAGGTCACCAAAACCGAATGTGGTTGCACATGCTTGTAATCCCAGTGTTGGGGAGGCTGAGATAGGAGGATCACAAGTCCAGGCTGCATAGCAAGACCCTGAACTAAATTTTTAAAAAATTTCCATTTATGGCATGGTGAAATTGTCTTGATACTTCCCAGTCAAATTGTATGTTTTTGAGGATCTGGACAAAGTCTTTTTTCTTTAATGTATTTAGTACAGGGTCTTACTACACAGATCAGACTTGTAGTGAGCATCACAAGTGCTGGGGTTACAGGCCTGTGCCACTGCGCCCATTCTCAATCACTGTTGCAGTGCACCCCGGGGGCACTGCCAGCATGGCACGCCAGGGATCGAACCCTGGTTCCTGCATCTGCCTAAGCAGTTGCTTTAAACCACTAAGCTATCTTGCTGTCCTTGGACAAAGTGTTGATACCATTTTATTATCTGTAGTGTGTCTAACATGCTGCAGGAATAGCGAGGGTATTTACATATGGTTACATTTGACAAGCTGTAGCCAAAATAATAAAAATTTTGGGGGCCGCGGAGATGGCTCAGTAGGCTAAGCGCTTGACTGGCAAACGCAGGGATCTGAGTTCAATCCCCGGTTCCGCCCAAAAAAAAAAAAAAAAAATTGGGGGCTGGTGAGATGGCTCGGTCTAAAGCACCTACTTAGAACAAGCTTAGCAAAGCACAGGGACCGCAGTTCTATCCCCCAGCACCACATGCCAGCCAGCCCCGCCCCCTGGTGGCTGAGCTGGCCACACACACACACACACACACACACACACACAGGCTTAAAATAAAAATAAAAATTTTGAAATTAGTCCCCTAAGGACCAAGAGTGCCGAGTGTTTATCCTCAATGTGGAAAATACCACAAGATCAGTAAAATTACCAAATTTAAACCATAAAAAATAGTAGGTAACGTGTACATTCTAGGACATAACGAGCTGTTAAATAGAATTTCCATTGCTTCTGCACTAGTGAGATTTTTCTGTGCTGGAATGGTTTTATTGAGGATGGGTGTTACTGTTTTTAAATGATACTGGGAGCAAAGTCCTTGTACATACTAACCACACTTTCCTACTGAGTTGTACCCTCAGGCCCAGAACTGTTGTTGTACTTTGGTTCTTTTTAGACTGGGTCTTACTACATAGCTCAGGCTATCATTGAATACATGGTGATCTTTGTGCTTCAGCCTCCAAATGCTGGGATTACAGGTGTGTGCCTTCTTGCCTGGTCTCAGAACTATTCATTTGTTCTAACCACCTAACAGTCTAATTATTTAAATACAGGATGATAAAAAACATTGGAATTTTTGTCTTTAATTTTTATAAGATAACAAGAAATACCAATTTTGTCAAATTTATTTAATACAAGAATTGACTAGTTGAAATGACACTTGTCCAAGCAATACTAGGACAGTCAATACTTAAATATACTGCCTGAGTGATGCTTAAGGTAAACTTAAGTAATTAAAACAAGGGATTATCAAGGTGAAGCGTGGTAATGAGAAGACAATGCTGTTATCACGTAAAAAGCCAGCTATTGCTGTTTGTAGACACATTAAGACAATCTTTGTCTCCTTGGCGTGCAGTCCTTATTGTTGACAAAAGGTGCTGTTGTAAGGATATGTAGTGATACTAAGTGAGGCCTGCTACTCTTGCAGGGGGAGTGCTCTTCAAAAACGGTTGCGTGACAGGGAAAAGGAAATGGAAGCAGATGAACGGGATAGGAAGAGAGAGAAGGAAGAGCTTGAAGAAATCAGGCAACGCCTTCTGGCAGAAGGGCACCCAGATCCAGATGGAGAGCTCCAGAGGGTAAGATACTATAGTACCTACCATGATTTTAAGATTATTGTGTCATTTTAAAGCCAACCGTGGTAATGTTTAATTTTATAATACACATTATGTTTCATAGAACTTGCTATTTTGTTGGAAGTATCTGTCTTATGGGCACTGGGAATCAAACTCAAAAACCACTTGTTTATGAGGTAGATATTGTGCTGCTGAGCTATATCTCCAGCTCCTTGATGAAGGTTTTTAGTACTTATAATGTAAAACCATCAGTGTTAGTTGATTCACACCTTGATTTACAAATTGAGTTATGACTCAGTTCTAAACATCTGGGCTGGGGTAATAGCTCAGTGGCATACTTGTGTGCCTGACAAGCACTATGTTCTAAGTTGGATCCCTGGTACCCCCCCCCTCCAAGAAAAAGAAACCTTATAGAATCAAACAATTGTAAGTCATTTAATTTGTAAACATCTCATGAACAAACGGTTCCTTTAGTTTTGGTGACCTTCATAAAATTTTGTTGGGATTCCTTCCTATAACTTGACATTTAATAAAGTTTTGTGACTTGAGTCTTATCACTTACTAGAACGTTTCTTTAGCAGCCTGTCATTTTAAGAAGAAATACACTGGGTGATAGGTCATGACATACCGAAATTTATATTCAAGAGTAGGTTGTCATTGTTGAAAAGTTTTTAGCTTTTACTTATCATGAATCTAGTTGTAGATGAATTTTGCATGCCAATTTTTAATAGTTTCTTTTTTTTAAATTAAAGTTATTTGATACAGGGTCTCACTGCGCCGCTCAGACTCGTAGTGATCCTCCTGTCTCAGCCTCCCAGCACTGATGGATTATATGTGTGTACCACCACACCCCAATTTCAGGGCTGGCATAGTATGTCCAGGTTTCCGGGGCTGGCACAGCATGTGGTATTGGGGATCCAATTTGGATCCTTGTGCTTGCCAGGCAGGTTCTTAGACCGCGCAGCTATATCCCCAGCTCCTAAAGAAGTTTCTTGCTATGTGTATATTGCTCAGGCTGGGTTTGAAATGAAGATTTTCCTGCCTCAGCTTCCTAAGTAGCTGAGATTATAGACATGTGCCACCTGGCCCAGCACTCAACTTTTTTTTTTTAATCTGTCAAGTGTTAAAACTTTGTCTCTTTATGCATTCCTTTTAGAAACTTTTGTTGTCATTGATGAAGCGCTTATACTTTATCATTGTTATTAATGAAGCAAAATGTTCAGACAGCACTGAAAACAAAAATGAAACAATATTTCATCACCTAATTTTTAATAACCCCTACAGTAGCTTCTTTGTCATACATCTTTTATGGATTGGGATATTCATGTTGGTATAGGCCTTTGGCACCCCAAATGCCTTTTATTCTGAATTTCTCGTTTTTCCCTGTTGTATATCAGTACCCAGATGACTACTAGCGTCAGTCTTTTCCTAAAGAGAACAAATAATTGTATATGATCATCCTCAAGGGTTTGGCTTGCCCTTTATCTATTATTTAGTGTTCTAAAATAAAACTTCCATTAGAAATTCTTTAATAAAGATTTATTGTAAACTAAAAAGCAAGTCTATTTCAGTGTTTTTTTGTTTCTTTTCTTTTCTTTTTTTTTTTGTCGGAACCAGGGCTTGAAGTCAGGCCCTTGCGCTTGCCAGGCAAGTGCTTATTCTGCTAGGCCATCTCCCTGGCCCCAAGTTTATTTCAAGTTAATCAGTTAATTTTTGGTTGTAGATTGAACAAGAGGCTGAGAGACGCAGACAACCACAAATAAAGCAGGAGCCAGAATCAGAGGAAGAAGAGGAAGAAAAGCAAGAAAAGGAAGAAAAACGAGAAGAACCTATGGAAGAAGAAGAGGAGCCTGAGCAAAAGCCTTGTCTGAAACCCACTCTGAGGCCCATCAGCTCTGCCCCATCTGTTTCTTCTGCCAGTGGCAATGCAACACCCAATACTCCTGGGGACGAGTCTCCCTGTGGTATTATTATTCCTCATGAAAACTCACCAGATCAACAGCAACCCGAAGAGCACAGGCCAAAAATAGGATTAAGCCTCAAACTGGGTGTGTTAGCATTTCTATCCTTTTTCTCTCCCTTCTCCCTGCAAGTTCCTATATTTTTAAGGGAAGAAGTTATACTGCTTGATAGGTAGATAGAAAAGTACTCAAAAATGTCTTTTTAGCTCATAATTGTTTTCATAGTCCTACTAGTGCTCCTATATCTGCAGCTGCCTCGAGTGCTGAGAAGAAGTGAAAAAGTTAAATTTGCTATAGCACTTGTGAGTAGTGAGTTACTTTTTCCAGTCGGGCACTTGTGAAAGTATTTGGACTGTTTTAGAGGGATGGTGGGTTGTCAGATACAAGATTTGAAATTAATACCATGCTAAAACGGTGTTTTTACTATAGGTGCTTCTAATAGTCCTGGTCAGCCCAATTCTGTGAAAAGGAAGAAACTACCTGTAGATAGTGTATTTAACAAATTTGAGGATGAAGATAGTGACGACGTACCACGAAAAAGGAAACTTGTTCCATTGGATTATGGTGAAGATGATAAAAATGCTACCAAAGGCACTGTGAACACTGAAGAGAAACGCAAACATATAAAGAGTCTTATTGAGAAAATCCCAACAGCCAAACCTGAGCTCTTTGCTTATCCTCTGGATTGGTCTATTGTGGATTCTGTGAGTAGTGGTTGGTTTTTCATCAGATTGTTGGGACTGGTTCTTAATGTGTCATACAATTCATTTGATTCCATTAATGACAAAAAGATAATCTTCTTGATACCATGGAAATGCCATGGTCAGAAAATTTATATTCGGGAAATTCTTGGTCTTCTAAGAATTCTTCCAAATTCTTGAAGTTTTCTTAGATTAGAAATGAATCATTATTTTCTTATATTTGTCTAAGTAATGTGAATGGACATAGGTAGTATATTTTCATCTTATAACTTGTGAGTCTTTAATACTGTAAAAAAGACTTTAGTTCATTAAATGTGCTTTGTTTTGCAGATGCTGATGGAACGACGAATTAGACCATGGATTAATAAGAAAATCATAGAATACATAGGTGAAGAAGAAGCTACATTAGTTGATTTTGTTTGTTCAAAGGTTGGTCTTTTATTCCTTGTACCACCAGCGTTTTATGTTATACTTCAAAACATTAGACTCTTCCTCAAGTCTTGCTTAGTGAAGTGCATGATAGTTCAGTTTCTGTTCAGTGATCCATTGCTGCTTTAATGAACCCTTGACAGATTGGCTGGCTGTGTCAATTATGGTTGCTTTATCTGATGCTGAGAATGAATGCCACGTCCCCATCTGTCTTGTCTTGGTTTAGAATACTGCTGAAGTGTAGGCAAGGTTTTATGGAGGTAGCCTATAGCTTGTCTCATGATCCTTCTTTGTTAGTGATTCTTGTTTTTTTTAAGACTGGATTTCCCTATGTAGTGCAGGCAAGCCTCGGAATTTCTTGCAGTTTTTCTGCAACTGCCTCCCAAGTACTGGGATTATAGGTATGCAGTATCATACCCACAACAGTCACCCATTTTAAAATAGTAAAATGGTTCCTTCCATATTATAAGTGGCCAATGTTCACTGACTGATTACTAACTTCTTGAAAGGTACTGTTAACATTTTGAAGTATAAGTCTCTAATGTTATCTCCATTTTAACACATGAAGAAATTAATGATTATGTTTTGGCCATGGTTGTATAAGTAGCCGGGTCTTGCCCCTTGTACTTAGGCTCTTAACCTCCAAAGTATATCATATGCTATCCTGAAAGCATAGTATTTTCTTTAGTGAATGGTTACTTTAGAGGAAGCACCATATTCTGTAAACTTCTAGCTATACCATTCTTCCAAATTGCCCTTTTAACATTATGAAGATGAAATTTAGCTGAATATGGTAGCGCATGCATGGTATCCCAGCACTACAGTTGTTGAGGCAGGAAAATTGCCAGAAGTTCAGGCCAGCATTGGGCTGCATAGTGAGACCCTGTCTCAAAACAAAATGTAAGCCTAGGCTGCCTTCTCACGTGTAATTGTTATAGCATTCTAAACTGTGAAAGTAGGGTTTGACTATGAGAAAATTGATACTATAGTGATTAAGATCCCATAACAAAAAGCTTATATAGAGAGTTGCTTAGCCTCAAGGAATTCCTGTATCACTTTGAGAATGTGTACTTTAAAACTTACTGTGCTGCTTTTTGTTTTCTTTCACCATGATACTGTTTTTTTTTCAGGTTATGGCCCATAGTTCACCTCAGAGCATTTTAGATGATGTTGCCATGGTAAGTTAGAATTCATTCTAATTTTAGTTGATATCAATGTAAACACAAGTTTTAAATTAATTTTCTTATTTTAATTGATATCTATGTAAACATAAGTTTTGAATTTGTTTTCTCCCTCTGTTGGTTTAAGAATTTATAGGTCCAAATTAAAATTTAATGTGTATTGAGGTTAAAAGCACCCACAGTATGACATTTTTAGTGTGTCATTTAAAAATTAGGGTTTTTGAGAAATCTTCTGTACCTTCTCTTCCCCTTTTCTGATTTATATAAATTTAAATCATAGGCCAGGATTTATTGATGTATTTATTAAGTGGTCCTTTTTAAAAATTATTTAGTACAGCGTCTACAGGTTCTCACTACACAGATTGGACTCATAGTGATCCTCCTGTTTTCAGCCTCCTAAGTGCTGGGATTATAGGTATACACCACCATACCTAGTCTCAGTTGCCGGATCAGCATGCCCTGGGGGCATGGCTGGCACAGCACACTGGGGATTGAACCCTGGTCCCTGTATCTGCCTAAACAGGCACTTTAATCCACTGAGTTACCTGGCTGGTCCTAAGTGCTCACTTAATAAAGCAGTGTGCTAGAAGCATGAAAGGTAGATTTTGTTCTGGGAGGAATATAGTGTACAGATGCTGAAACAATAATAGCAGTGGCAAACCTTTTAGAGACTTGTGCACAGACTTCAATCTGAAACCCACGCAATTATTTCAAAGTGTCAATCCTGCAATTAAACTTGAGTACTTAGGTCTTAGTTTAGAAAAAACAACTCATGCATTAACGTCTTTGTTTTAAAAGGAAAACAACACACATGCCATAGGTTTGTGACCACTGAACTATAGTGTACTTGTTGTAACAAAGTTGGCTCAGGTTGGGGAGATAACGCTCAGGGGTCTAAGCGCTTGCCTGGCAAGTTCAAGGACCCAGGTTCCATTCCCAGTACGACATGTTGTGCTGGCCCTTGAGCCCCAAAACTGTGTGGTGGTGCACACCTGTAATCTCAGTGCTGGGGAGACTGAGACAGTAGGATCACTATGCATCTGACCTTCATAATGAGACCCTGCACAAATAAATAAATGAAAGATTTTTTTAACCCCACCCCCCCAAAGTCTGCTCTGTTACAGAGGAAATAGAACATTTGGTGGTGTGGAGGTCAGTTAAGGAGAGTGTTAATAGGCATTATGTAAATTCAGACATGAAGTTTAGCTATTTTATCATTTTTGGTGGGTATGTGCAGTATTTACACATCAAATCTGCATTTAATTCGGGATTAGAGTCAGTTATTGCATTTATTTTACATGGTGATTTTATGAGAAAAGAAAGGCAAAAAAAAAAAGAAAAGGAAGGGAAAGAAAATTGATCATAAAAGGGAGGAAGTAATTAAATGAACTATGAGATCCTCATTAAAAAGAGAAAAAGACGGGGCTGGTGAGATGGCTCAGTGGTCTAAAGCACCTACTTAGAACAAGCTTAGCAAAGCACAGGGACCGCGGTTCTATCCCCCAGCACCACATGCCAGCCAGCCAGCCCCGCCCCCTGGTGGTTTAGCTGGCCACACACACACACAAATAAATAAAATTTAAAAAAAAATAAATTTAAAAAAAAAAGAGAAAAAGAATAATGCCCAAAGAAAACTGGAAAAAAAAAAGCAGGTGAAAGGGCTGGCAGGTTCGGTCCAGGGGCCTGCCGTGCCAGCCCTGCCCCCAGGGTGCGCTGAAACAGCAATTGAGACTAGGTGTGGTGGCGTGTGCCTATAATCCCAGCTCTTGGGAGGCTATAAACAGGCAGATCACTATCTAGTAGTGTGACCTTGGACACCCTGTAGACCCTTCCCTAAAATTAAAAAAAAATAATAATAAACAATCAAACATACAAAAAAGAAAACTGATGTTTTCAGTGAACTAAGGATTTGAATTCCAGTGAAGTTATGGGAGGTATGGAGCACCTGTGGTCAGAAAGTAGCATGTTAAGATGTAAATATGTAAGTGGTGGCTTAGTCCATGTGATGATAAGGTACAACATGTGGCCAATACAAAATTCTGGGGGCTAGGGGTGATGGGAAATTGCTATAATTCCATCCTCTGGTAGGCTGAGTCAGGAAAATTGCAAGATTGAGCACAACCTGGGTAATTTAGTGACTTGGCAAGACCTGTCATAAAATAAAAAAGTAGTAGGGAATAGCTTAATGCAAAAAGTAGTAGGGATATAGCTTAGTTCAATCCCCAGTCCTAATAAAAGAAAAAAAATCCTGGGTGTTAGAGACATGGACATTGAGAAAAATGCTGGAAAGGTATGTAAACATTCATTTCACATGGGGAAAGACTAGTGTCTGCAAGATGATTATTGTTGGAAGGATAGTGATATAGTGTGATCTTTTGACTGTTCTGTGCATGGACAGAAAGAGTGAAGATAACAGTGTTGGGAAAGACTCACAGGCACCGGCCACAAAGTCACACTGACACTCAGTGCAAGCAAAGCGAGGGCTTGAGCAAAAAGGCTGTTGCCTTGTCTTTGGTTTTCAATTTTATATATCTTGAGTCTTAGCCTTCAGGTTACTTCAGGGTGAATATAACAAGATCCTATTATGTGTCCAAGATTAATGTTTAGGCTATACTATACGTGAGAAACTGCTAGGCATCTGGGAGCAAGGACACAAACACAGGGTGTCTGTCCTTGAGTACCAAGTATTCTTAGTTGCTCTGCAGCTGTTGCTGCCCTGTTTTCTTTTTCCTCCTCCCACATGCCCTGCAGATTATTTAGCATGTCTTTTTGTTAACTCTTTCTTTCTTTTTTTTTAATTTTATTTATGTTGTGTGTGTGTGTGTGTGTGTGTGTGTGTGTGTGTGTGGCCAGCTCAGCCCACCAGGGGGCGGGGCTGGCTGGTATGTGGTGCTGGGGGATCGAACTGCGGTCCCTGTGCTTTGCTAAGCCTGTTCCAAGTAGGTGCTTTAGACCACTGAGCCATCTCACCAGCCCCTGTTAACTCTTTCTTATCCCAACAATACAGCATCTTGTACTGGAGACCCACTAAATAGTTCATGCTAGCATCACTGGGGCAGCACATTTATGTATCTGAGCATTGCCTGGGCTTGTGTCATTTCAACCAATTGATTTTTTTTTTTATTTTTATTTTTATTTATATTTGTGTGTGTGTGTGTGTGTGGCCAGCTCAGTCCACCAGGGGGCGGGGCTGGCTGGCATGTGGTGCTGGGGGATTGAACCGTGGTCCCCGTGCTTTTTTGCGAAGCTTGTTCTAAGTAGGTGCCCTAGACCACTGAGCCATCTCACCAGCCCCACAACCAATTGATTCTTACGTTGAATAAATTTGATAAATTGTCATTTTTATATTTCCTGTTATATTATCTTGCAAAAGTTAATGAGAAAATATGTGACTTTTGGTTATCCTGTATTTAAATAATTGGACTGGTAAGTGGTTAAAGTTTGAGTAAAAAACTTTTTTTTAGAGGAGCTGGCCTTGAACTCCCTATGTAGTACAGGCTGGCCTTGAACTTTCTCAGCATTTGTCCTGCCTCAGCCTTCCAGCTTCTGGAGTTACAGAAATATGCTACCATGAGAAGAACTTTCTGAGAAGGTGCCCACAATGTCAGGAGTCCTACAGAACAGATGAAGGGTTTCCATTAAAATAAAATATGAAAAAACAAAAATAAACTGATTGAAAGTTAAAGATGGTTAGTGTGAAATGGAATAAGAATCTAAAGGGCAGGGGTCCTGGCCCTAGCTCAGTTCTTTAAGTGACTGCTTCCACAAAGCTGTCAGCCTCAGGGTGCTGTAGTTCGATCCCCACAACACTCCAGCCAGCCAAACCACCCCTGAGGGCATTCGGAGCAAAAAAAAAAAAAAATCTAAAGGGCAGGGTTAGAATGCAACAATGGGTCAAGTCAGTCCTCCTGCAGAATAAGTACCAAACATTGTATGATAAGTAACTTGGAAACTTGGATTTTGACTGCTAACAAAGATGTCGGAGAAAGATAAAGTAGGGTTCTTAAAAGTAGTTTTGGGGTAAAGATGCTTTTTTTCTTTTTTTTTTTTTGGCGGAACCGGGGATTGAACTCAGGTCCGTGCGCTTGCCAGGGAAGCACTTATTCCACTGAGCCATCTCCCTGGCCCCGGGTCAAGATGCTTTGTGTCCATGCACTATGTGATGTCTGGTAACATTTGTTTTCTTTTGCCTGGCCAACCTGATACTGTTGTTTAGAGTTCATAAAAAATGAAACAAAAAAAAGCACTTGTAAAGTTTGCTGCTTTCATGATGCTTAGAGTCAAGACAAAAGGAGAAATGTAAATAGCCTTATTTGAAGGTACTTATTCTGCAGGAACTTTGGGTCGGGGGTAGATTTTGAACTTCTTCAGCTTCCTCTGAGTGTCATGCTTGGTAGAGAAAGGGTGTTGCCTGGGTAAAGAAATATTTGAAAAGTCAAGTGTTCTACATGCATACAATGGCACATGCTTATAATCCCAGTTACAGTGGACCCCTAGCTTACAAGCTCAATTTTTCTGCACAGCTTGGTTGGTAAGTCACGACAATTTTTCTCATAAATGAGAATACATACAGTGCATTCCAAACCTCTCAAAGCATCCCTTAACCTTTCATAATAAAAAAGGATTGTATAATATTCATAATTTATCAGAAACACTAATAGTTTTCCTAGTTTATTCACCAAGAAGTTACAAAATGTCTAGTTTATCAGAAAGTTTCTTTTTTCAAAAAAATATTTATTTGGTACAGGGCCTAACTATGCAGGTTGGACTCACAGTGGTCCGCCTGCCTCAGCCTCCCCAGTGCTGGGACTATAGGCATCTGCCACCATGCCCAGTTTTGGTCTCCCTAGCCCCCATCAGAAACAATTTGATACTGTACTCTATTCAAGCTAACATCTTTGGCTTAAAGGCAGGGATACTGAAATGAAAGTTGGTTAGCTGGCAAGATAGCTCAGCAGCATAAGGGCCTGCCTAGCAAGCGCAAGGTCCTGAGTTCA